AATAATTTCACCCATAGATCTTATAAATGTTTCTTGTATACATATATCACAAAAAACAATTCAAAACCAATTCCTCACTCATACCAAGGGGATATAAAGATCTCAAATCAAAAATCCATTTGCACTCTCTTTGTAAAAGACAGCGTTCCATGTCACCACCCCTTCGAAGCTGGTATATGTTCTATTACCGTAAAATCCAAGTCCGCTATGGAATGTGCCGCTTCATTGAAATGACGAGCTACCGGAGATTTTATGTCCTTTCTCCTAATGGAGCTCATATGTTCGATAATACGCGTTCTGATCAATCTACTAGTTTTTCCCACATACTGTTTATGACACACACAAGTCAACAGATAAATTACATTAGTGGATGCACAAGTGGTAAACTGTCTCATACAATACACTCGATCTGTCACGCAACTCTTGAAAGACACCTGTTTTCTCAGAAAACAGGTGTCTTTCAAGAGTTGCGTGACAGATCGAGTGTATTGTATGAGACAGTTTACCACTTGTGCATCCACTAATGTAATTTATCTGTTGACTTGTGTGTGTCATAAACAGTATGTGGGAAAAACTAGTAGATCGATCAGAACGCGTATTATCGAACGTAGGAGCTCCATTAGGAGAAAGGACATAAAATCTCCGGTAACTCGTCATTTCAATGAAGCGGCACATTCCATAGCGGACTTGGATTTTACGGTAATAGAACATATACCACAGTTTCGAAGGGGTGGTGACATGGAACGCCATCTTTTACAAAGAGAATGCAAATGGATTTTTGATTTGAGATCTTTATATCCCCTTGGTATGAATGGTTTGAATTGGTTTTGAATTGTTTTTTGTGATATATGTATACAAGAAACATTTATAAGATCTATGGGTGAAATTATGTATGAAACATTTTTTGCATTTTACATTAATAATGTTGTATTAAGGTATTTTTGCATTGAGGAATTTTTTACCATTAAAATATATTTATAGGAATGTCTTAAGGTAAAATTGGATATATTGTATGGTGTTTTTGGGCCTGCGTGCATATTATGATGTCCATGGTGAATATTGATGTTATAATGGGTGCAGGTGTGCACTAATCAATGTGGCAC